TCCCCTCTGGAGAGATAGCCACTTTTCTTTTAGCTGATTATTTGATGTGTTTGCTTCCAAATAATCAGGTTTTTGCTATCCCTAACCTAAGAGGTCCCTCTGATCTCTTTGCAGTTAATCCCCTCCCCCATCCCTAGCCCAGGCAACCCTGATCTGCCAGGATTTCATAGGATTGGACACGTGGCCTTCTGTGTCTGACTTATGTCACTTAGCACAGTATCTCTGAGACTCTTCCTTGCCATTTCACGTGTCAGAAATTCTTTGCTGTTGCTGAGTTAGCGCCCTGTCATATGGCAATAGCTCTGTTCAGTCATCGTTAATTAGCATTTGGGCTATTTCCAGGTTTTGGCTAAAGCTGCTATGAACATTCCAGTACAAGGCTTCTTCGTGTGGATGTATTTTAGTTCATATGCTCTTTGCGGACATATGGTTTCACTAAGGTACGTGCCTAGAAGCAGGAATCCCGTGTTGTGTACTAGTTGTGTGTTTAAACTGGGAAACTGTTTTCAGTGGATGCAAGATCCAGGTGCTCCTTACTGTACTGGGTAGGACTCCAGCACCACGCTGAGCAGCAGCTGTGCGAGGGGCCATCCCTCCTTGTCCCCTGTCTTAGGGGGAAAGCACTCGATCTTTCACAATTCAGTATGTCAGGTGTAGATTATTTTGTAGATGCCCTTTTGACGTCAGGTTGAAGAAGCTGACACATCTGATGAGAGTTTTATCATGACTGGATATTGCATTTTTCTCAAATGCTTTTCTGAATCATTATGATGCTGCTATGGGTTGATCAATTACATTGATTAGTTTTAAAATATCAAATCAGATTTGCATTCCCGGAAAACCCCAACTTAGTTTTGATTTATTGTTTTTAAAATATTGTTGGATTAAATTGGCTAACATTTTGTTAAGAATTTTTGCATCTGTATTCCTGATAGATTAGTCTGATCTGTTCCTTGCAATATCTTTGTTTTTGGTATCAGAGTAACATTAGCCTCATAAAATGAATTTGGACATTTCCCCTTCCCTATTATTTTTTGGGGAAATCTGTTTAGAATTGGTGTTATTTCTTCATTAAATGCTTGGTCAACTCAGTGAAGCTTCCTAGGCCAGGTATTTTCCTCATGGGAAGGTATTAAACTGCAAATTCAGTTTCCACAGCTTCTCCTCAGTGGGCCACAAATGTTAGCTGCCTCAGCCTCCCCAAATACTGAGCTCTGTCACTTCAATTCACTGAGCCTCCTGGGCTGTCTTGGCCCCTGTGCTGTGACCTGGACACTGTCCCCATGGGCTGAATCCCTAGGCCTTCCCTTGTCTGTTTCCTTTCTTCCAAGGATCTCCATCTTTCCCTGTCATTTGTCCGTTGCCTAAAAAGTTGTTTGTTTCTCTCTCTCTCTCTCTCTTTTCTTTCCCCCTGGTTTTCTAATTGTTTAACAGCGGGAATTCTCAGAGTTTTCAAATCCTGCCATCATTTTTTATTTTTTTTAAAAAGATTTTATTTATTTATTTATTCATGAGAGACAGAGGGAGAGAGAGAGAGAGAAGCAGAGGGAGAAGCAGGCTCCCAAGGAGCAGGGAGCCCGATGCGGGACTCGATCCCAGGACCCTGGGATCATGACCTGAGCCGAAGGCAGATGCTTAACCATCTGAGCCACCCAGGCGCCCCTGCCATCCTTTTTTAATTTCCAAGAACTCTTGTTCCTCTGGATATTGCTTTATTTGTATGCTGATATTCACATTTTATAGTTAAAATTTTTTACCTCTAAAGATAAATGATTTTTAAAAACATTTTCTTCTCCCTTCATAAGCTCTGTGTTCTCAAATTTTTCTCTTTGATTCTTTTGATATCTCTTTCCTGTTAGAAGCTTTCCTCCGCTATCTGGTAGTCCCCGATTGTCTACCCAGGTAAATGGTGGGAAGATCAAGCTCCTTTTTGGAAACTCTTCATGGGTGAGTGGGGCTTGAGTCTCTAACACCGCTCTCCTGCCACCAGCTGCCCTGGTGTCTTCAGTCCAGAGCACCTTCGATTTACTCCCTCCAAAGAGAAAAGGCCTCCAGTCTTCTCCCAAGTTGGGAGAGGGGAGTCCCCGAGCTCCTCTGAGTTGGGGAAGGGATGTGGGGGCCTAATGGCTTTTAAACTGACCTTAAACCAGTGCTCCATAATCCACTCCCCACTTCCGCATGTACGTGATGGTGCCAGTTCCTGAAACTCTAGGTGATTTGGAAGTAAATCGAGTTAGTTTCTGATCCCTCCCAAGGGGGTGACCTTTTGAGTACATTGTAAAGGGGGCTTGGATCACACCACTTGCATACCTTGCATGAAACCCTGGAGTTACATAGTTTAAGACCATACTTTGTTTTTTGTAACATGGGACAGTGCATCTAGGGTATTGCTTCTTAATTCAGCCCACCCTGAAGTGACCTGGGAGCCCCAAGGAGAGCAGATCCTGCCGGCTTAGATCTTCAGTGGGGGTCCAGTCTCTCCTAACCTCAGTTCATCTTCAGTGTGGGAAAACCGGGGTGCATTTGACTCCCCTCTTGATTGGATGAGTGTTCTCCTGGAACACTATAAACATTCAGAAGACAAATATTTTCTTAAATGTAGATGATGTGATTTTATTATCACAATCAAGAAAAGGCTTTAATAGATAAAACTATCCAGCAGCTGCTAGAAAAGAAAGCCAGCAATTGGTTATTTTTGTTGTGCCACAGTATGCTTTTTGAAAGCCATCTGCCGGATTTTTTTAAGTAAAAATGTTTTGTAGTAATGTGTAAAACTCAACAAATTTTTGCAGTGTAAATATTGTATAACTGGCACCTGTAATAAGAAATAGAATGTTACCAGCATGTCAGAAACCTCCCATCCCCTCTCTTTCTTTTGTTCTGAAGATAACTACTACCCTGACCATAGGCTTGTTTTGCCTGTTTTTAAAGTTTATATAAATGGAATCATACAGTATCTACTCTTCTGTGCATACAGTATGTTTGAGAATCATCCATGTCTGGCAATAGTTCGGTCATTCTCACCGATTTACAGTATTTCACTCAGTAAACCTACCAACATTTCTACTTTCTACTGTTGCTAGACACTTGATTCATTTCTAGCTTGGAGTGTACATTATGAAGTGTACTGCTTTAAACGTGCCTATACGTCTTTTAGAAAATATATTTCTATATTCCAATATTTCTCTTGGGTATGTAGCTAGGAGTACTATGTTCATGAGTATGCAAGCTTTAGTTGACATTGCCAAGTAGTTTTCCAAAGTGGGTATACCAGCAGTATGTGAGGGTTCCATATTCTCCTATAGACCTAGTATCACCATTTAAATTTTTTTTCCACCACTCTAGAGGGTTTATGGAGTATCAGATTGTATCTTAACTTACGACTGATGAAAATGATCTTTATTTTTAATCTCTTTAATATCCTCTTTTTTTTTGAAGATTGATTTATTAGAGAGAGAGAGAGCACAAGCGGGAGGGGCAGAGGGAGAGGGAGAGAATCTCAAGCAGACTCCACGCTGAGTGCAGGGCCCAACTTGGGGCTTGATCTCACAACCCTGAGATCATGACCTGAGCCAACACCAACAGCCGGACATTTAAGTGCCACTCAGGTGCCCCTAATATCCTCTTTTGTAAAGTACCTATCAGTCTTTCCATTATTTTCTATATAGTTGTCTAATCTTTTTTTTTTATGATTTTATTTATTTATTTGCCAGAGAGAGACACAGCAAGAGAGGGAACATAAGCAGGGGGAGTGGGAGAGGGAGAAGCAGGCTTCCCGCTGAGCAGGGAGCCCAACGTGGGGCTCGATCCCAGGACCGTGGGATCATGACCTGAGCCGAAGGCAGACGCCTATCTTTTCTTATTGATTGATAAGGTTGCGTATTTGGGATTTGAGTCCTCAAATGTCATGTATATGTATGTGTATTGCAAATGTTGTTTCCCACTTTGAATAATAGTGTCATTTGATAAATAAGTTCTAAATTTTTAAGATAGTCCTGTTAATCAGGGTGTGGGTTTTTGTGGTTTTGTTTTGTTTTGTCTTTTTGCCCCTTGTGGTTAATGCTTTTTGTGTCCTACATAAGACGTTGAAGGCCATGAAGATCTTTGTTTTCCTGTAGCAGCTTTATTCTTTTGTCTTTCGTACTTTGGTCTGAAATCAACATGGAAGATTTATCGTTCATTGTTTTCCATATGGGTATCCAGTTGACCCAGGATGGTTTACTGAAAAGACTGTCTTTCTCCTCACTGTATTGCAGTATCTCCTTTGTCATATGGCGACTACATGTGCATGGGTCTGATTCTGGATTCTATAATCTCTTGCATTGGTCTGTTGGAATATAGGACTGTTCCTAGACTCTATTCTGTTTCATTCTTTTTGTCTAATCTTGTGCCAATACAATACTGTTTTCATTACTCTGACATTATAATGAGTCTCACAATTGATGATATACGTCTTCCAGCTTTATTCTTTTCTTTGCTTTTAGAATTTTTGAATTGACTATTCAGTTTCCACAAAATTTCTGCTGGGATTTTAATAAGAATTGGCCTGAGTCTGTAGCTTAAATGGGGAGAATTGGTAGTGTTCCATCCTGTGAACATGTTTTATCCCTATGTTTGTTTAGGTTTCCTGTATAATTTCTCTGAAATTTTTTGTCATTTTATTTGTATGGTTCTTGCACATCTTTCATTATATTTATTTCTGAGTATTTTTTGTTTTTGATATAATTATAAAATCTTCTGAAAGTTTTCTTTTCCAATTATTTGTTGCTGATATATAGATAGACTATTGATTTTTATATATTGATCTTATGTCCAGCAACTTTACTAAGTTCCCTTATTAATTCTAATAGATTAGATTATTTTGTTGTTTTATATGAATATAATCATATTATCTGAGAATAATGATTTTTTTTTCTTTCTTTACTTGCACTGGTTAAGACTTCTAGTACAACTTTAAATAGAAATTGTAATAACAGGACGCCTGGCTGACTCAGTCAAAGAGCATGTGACTCTTGATCTCAGGGACATGAGTTCGAGCCCCACTTTGGGTGTAGAGATTACTTAAATAAATAAACTTAAAAAAAAAAGAAATTTTGATAACAGGCACTTTTTTTCATTGTAGTCTCAGGGCAATGTTTTCAGTATTTTGCAATTAACTGTGATGTTTTGTGTAGATTTTTTGTAGGTACTCTCTATCAGATTAAGGAAGTTATGTTCTACTCCTACTTTACTGAGTTTTTATCATGACTGGGTATTGAATTGGGTCAGGTGCCTTTTCAGCATCTATTGAAAGAATGATACCATTTTTCTCCTGTATTTTGTTAATATGGTGAATGACACTGGGTGATTGAAATGTGAAAACAATGTTGAGTTTCAACTTATTTGTGATCCATTATCCTTTTTTTTTTTTTTAAGATTTTATTTATTTACTTGACAGAGACAGCAAGAGAGGGAACATAAGCAGGGAGAGTGGGAGAGGGAGAAGCAGGCTTCCCACTGAGCAGGGAGCCCGATGCGGGGCTGATCCCAGGACTCTGGGACCATGACCTGAGCCGAAAGCAGATGCTTAACGACTGAGCCACCCAGGTGCCCCTCCATTATCCTTTTTTACATCACTTTTTTATATTCCTTTTGCTGAATGTTTCTTTTAGGAATTTTGCATTTGTGTTGATAAGAAAGAATGGTCTGTGATTCTTTTTTTTTTTAATTGTCCTCATCAGATTCTGGCAGGTTGTGCTAACTTCATAAAACCAATTAGAAATGTTTGTTCTCTTTAGTTCTCTAAAAGAGCTTGTGTAAGATTGGTGTTATTTCTCCTTTAAATGTTTAGACAAATTCACTAGTGAAGGCAGCTCTGCCTGGCAATTTCGTTGTGAGAAGTTTCTATATATTTATTTTTTTAAAGATTTATTTATCTGAGAGAGAGAGAGAGCGTGAGCACAAGCTGGGGGCGGGGCAGAGGGAGAGAGAGAATCCTTAAGCAGACTGACCACTGAGCACAGAGCCCAATACGGGGCTTGACCCCAGGACCCTGAGATCATGACCTGAGCTGAAATCAAAAGTCAGCCACTTAACCTACTCTGCCACCCCAAGCACCCCTGTGAGAAAGTTTTAAAATGAAATTCAATTTATTTATTAGATGTAGGACCATTCAAATTTTCTGTTTCTTTTTTGGTACCTTTCTAGGAATTTGAGCCTTTTGTCTAAGTGCCCAAACTTATTAGCATAAAGTTTCCTTATTATGTTATTGTCTTATAAGTCTCTGTGGAATCTGTCCTGATGTCATCTTTATCATTATTGATATTAGTAATTGATATTAGCAATTAATTAGTAATATTAGTAATCATTATTGATAATTAGTCATTAATGATAATTAGTAATTAGTAAAGCACACACATAGTTATTGTGTGCGTTCTATCTTCTTGATTAGTGTTGCTAGAAGTCTATCAGTTTTTATTAAGTTATTGATTTGTTGTCTTTATTATTTCTTTCCTTCTCCTTTGTGTTTCATTTGCTATTTTTCTAATTTCTTGAGATGTACATTTCCTTCTACACATGACTATAGCTGCATCAGTTTCATTTAATATTTTTATTATCATTTAAATTATTTTCTAATTTTTGTTATGATTTTTTTTTCTTTCCTCTATCAGTTATTTAGAAATGTATTGCTTAATTTAGAAATATCTGTGGATTTTTTAAGTATCTTTTTGGTATTTTGTTGTTCATTTCCAGCTTAATTCTACTGAGTTCAGAGAACATATTCTGAATGCTCTCAGTCCTGTGTAATGTATTCATTTACAGTTCAGTATAAGGTCAGTTTTGGTAAATGTTCTGTACGCACTAATAATACATACTCTGTCATTGTTGGGTATACTATTTTCAAGTCTGTTAATTGAGATTTGTTTATCAGATTGTTGAGATCATCTCCATTCTTTTTTTTTTTAAGATTTTTATTTATTTATTTGAGAGAGAGAATAGGAGAGAGAGAGCATGAGAGGGGGAGGGTCAGAGGGAGAAGCAGACTCCCCGCTGAGCAGGGAGCCCGATGCGGGACTCGATCCTGGGACTCCAGGATCATGACCTGAGCCGAAGGCAGTCACTTAACCAACTGAGCCACCCAGGCGCCCAGATCATCTCCATTCTTAAAGGTTTGATTTCTGAGTTATTGAGAGTGGTGTGTGAACATACATTACTAGGATTGTTAAGATTTCTCTATTTTTGCTTTTCATTTTCTCAGTTTCTACTTTACACATTGTGAAGTTATGTGCAAATGTAGACTTGTAATATGTTCCTAGAGAACTGTCCCTTCTGTCAATATGAAATATCTGAAAGTCTATTTTTTCTAAAACTATAAGATTTGTCTGATACATATATCAGCTTTCTTGTGGTTAGTGCTTGCATGATAAATCCTTTTCATTCTTTTCTATATTTCTATGTCTATGTTTTGGTATTTCTCTTCTAATAAGCATCTAGTTGGATTTTTTTTTTAAGATTTTATTTATTTATTTATTTGAGAGAGAGAGGAAAAACAGCATGAGAGGGGAGAGGGTCAGAGGGAGAAGCAGGCTCCCCGCTGAGCTGGGAGCCTGATGTGGGACTTGATCCCAGGACCCCAGGATCATGACCTGAGCCGAAGGCAGTTGCTTAACCAACTGAGCCACCCAGGCGCCCTAGTTGGATTATTTTTAATACAGTCTTACAATCTTAGTTTTTTAATAGGATATTTAAACCAGTTACTAATATGTATGGGAGGGGCGCCTGGGTGGCTCAGTTGGTTAAGTGGCTGCCTCCGGCTCAGGTCATGATCCTGAGGTCTTGGGATCGAGCCCAACATCCGGCTCCCTGCTCAGCGGGGATTCTGCTTCTCCCTCTCCATCTGCCTGCCACTCTGCCTGCTTGTGCTCTCTCTCTCTGTCAAATAAATAAATAAAATCTTTAAAATAATAATAATAATAATATGTATGGGATTGGATATCTGTTATCTTCACATTTATTTTGTGTTTTACTCACCTACTTTAAATTATCTTTTGTCTTTCGTTTTGCCTTCTCTTGCTTTATTTTCATCCTAATGCTTGTTAATATATTCTTCTCTAACTATTACACTTTTTTGCTAGTACCTTAAAATATTAACTCCTCCCACCTTTCTTGTTATTTTTTTGTAATTAATTTATTTTTTTTGACGTAGTGTTCCATGATTCATTGTTTGCATATAACACCCAGTGCTCCATTCAGTGCGTGCCCTCTTTAATACCCATCACCAGGCTAACCCATTCCCCCACCCACTCCCCTCTAGAACCCTCAGGTTGTTTCTCAGAGTCCATAATCTCTCATGGTTCATCTCCCCCTCTGATTCGCCCCCCCTTCATTTTTCCCTTCCTGCTATCTTCTTTTTTTTTTAACATATAATGTATTATTTGTTTCAGAGGTACAGGTCCGTGATTCATCAGTCTTGCACAATTCACAGCGCTCACCTTAGCACATACCCTCCCCAATGTCCATCACCCAGCCACCCCATCCCTCCCAGCCCCCACCACTCCAGCAACACTCAGTTTGTTTCCTGAGATTAAGAATTCCTCATATCAGTGAGGTCATATGATACGTGTCTTTCTCTGATTGACTTATTTCGCTTACCATAATACCCTCTAGTTCCATCCATGTCGTTGCAAATGGCAAGATTTCAGGTTTTTTTGATGGCTGCATAATATTCCATTGTATAAAAAAAAATACCACATCTTCTTTATCCATTCATCTCTTTCGTGTTATTTTTGCTATGTATATTTAATTACATATATATTTTCAACCTCTCAAGACATAATTATTGTGTGCAATAATACATGTATTAACATATTTACTTTTCCTATAGCTTTTCATTCCTTCTTACATTTCCATGTTTCCACCTGGGATTTTCTTATGCCTAGACATACTTGTTACTGTTTTTTTTTAAATATGGATCTGCTGGTGGGAGAGTCCCTTGTTTTTATTTGTATAGAAACACCCATTTCATATTCACTTTTTAAGGATATTTTCTTTCTGTTGAATTCTGTTTGGCAATTAGGTTCTTTCAACACTTCCTGATGTTTCATTTTTTTCTGGCTTCCATTGATTTTGTTGAAAAGATGGCTGTCAGTCTTACTTTTTTCTTCTTTAAAAGTAATGTATTTGTTTTCCTGTCAAGTAACTGTCAAGATTAAACTTAGGTTTTCAGTAGTCATGTGTTTAGATGGATTTTCTTTGTATTTATCCTGCTTGGAATCTCTAGTGCTTCTCAAATTCATTTTTCAGCCTTCATATTTTTCAGATAGTATTTTTGTCCCATTTCTTTCTTTCTTCCATTCTAGAACTCGTCACACATATGTTCAGTCTCTTCATCATGTCTTCTATGTTTCTTTTTAATTTTTTTCAGCAAGTTTTACCATAGATGTTTTCTGCTTATGTATTTTTCCAGTGCACTATTGCTCCCTTCTGCTATGTTCAATATACTATTAAATATATCTCTTCAGTTCTTAATTTCAATTATTCTTTTCTAGAACTTTCATTTGATTCATTGGTTCCAATCTTCTGTTGAAATTCTCATTCTTATTTGTTTTATTGAACATACTAATCCCGGTTATCTTAAAATCCATGTTTGATAACTTTGGTATCTGATACCAGGTTCTGTGGGTCTTTGTGTATTATCTGGTTTTTCTCTTGACTTAATTTCTTAGTACTCCAGTAAATTTTGATTGAATCCCTGATACTGTATTTGAAGAAGTGAAGAGGCTCTGGGTGATGTTATATTCGTCCAGAGAAGATTTACCTTTTCTTCTGGCAGATAGTGAGTGTATGGGAACCACCTTAATCCAACCAGGGACGTGTTAGCTGGAGATTAGGTTGTGGTGTTTATAAAGCTTTGCTTATCTCTTGTTTGCCTTGCTACTAGGTTGTAGCCCTCCAGGAGTGCCTACTGAGAGCTTTACATGTTTACTGTGACCACTACCCCCTTCTTTGGAAGATCCTGATCTCAGTTTTTGGCACCATATTTTCTTAAGATTAGAAAAGTTTGAAATTCTGCTTAGCTTTGGTCTCTTGCCCTGAGAAGTTTTAGAATTCAGCAAATTCTATAAGGAAAAAACTGGTAAGTATTGGGATTACCTTTCTATATTTCCCTTCTCTCTCAAATATTAGAGTATCAGATTGGCCTCGAGTGACATATGCCTTTAGACAGAATTTTTGTTTATCGTTTAAGATTTTCTAGTTGTTTTCTGCAGGAATGTCTGCCACTGCCTACTTTACCAGGTCCAGAAGTGAAAGCCAGCCCTTAAGGTGTTAAGATTTGGCAATCCTGGCATTTAACTGACGATTTTTGTTTTGAGCAACATTATTGTGAGCTCACCAGGATTTTAGCTTTAAAATGCACCTGTTTAACTGTCTTTTCCAGATAAGTAAAGGGGTTAGTTTAGTTTGGTTTTGTTGATTATAGCTCTTTGTAGATTTTCTGGAGTGTGTAGGAAAAAAAAGTGATGAGGAGGCTTGTTCTTGATAGGATTTTCCAGGCATCTTTGCATCACTGCCACAGTAGTATCTAGCTCTTATCGTTTCTTTTCTTAGTACAAAGTCTTAAATAGACTTAACATCAAAGGCAGATATTCACAAATACATAGGAAAAACTAGTATGCAGTCCAGAACTCTGCGTGTTAATATGGACATACCTCATTCTGTTGTGCTGTGCAGATATGCATTTCTTACAAATTGAAGGTTTGTGGTTATCCTGCGTCGAGCAAATCTATTGGTGCCATTTTCCCCACAGTGTTGGCTCACTTCACATCTCTGTGTCACATTTTGTTAATTCTTGCAATAAAATAGTTAAACCTCTGGAAAGGATTCACTATTCTAGATACCATTAAGAACATTCATAATTTATGGTCACAGGTCAAAAAATCAATATTAATAGGAGTTTGGAAGTTGATTCCAACACTCATGGATGACTTGGAGGGGTGCAAGACTTCAGTGGAGGAAGTCACTGCAGATGTGGTAGAAAGAGCAAGAGAACTAGCATTAGAAGTGGAGCCTGAAGATGGGACTGAATTGCTGCAAGCTCATAAGACAACTTGAACAGATGAGGAGTTCCTTCTTACAGATGAGCAAAGAGAGTGGTTTCTTGGCATGGACTCTACTGATGAGGATGCTGTGAAGGTTGTTGACATGACAACACAATATTTAGAATATGACATAAAGTTAGTTGATAAAACTGAAGCAGTGTGTTTGAGAGATTGACTCCAATTTTGAAAGAAGTTCTACTGTGGGTAAAATGCTATCAACAACACCTCATGCCACAGAGAAATCATTCCTGAAAGGGAAGGGTCCATCGATGCAGCAGACTTCATTGTTGTCTTATTTTAAGAAATTGCCATAGCCACCCCAGCCTTCAGCAACCGTCATTCAGCAGCCATCAACACTGAGGCAGGACCCTCCACTAGCAAAAAGATTTTGCTGAAAGCTCAAATGCTGGTTAGCATATTTTTAGCAATAAAGTGCTTTATAATTTGGCATATAGAGTGTTTTTCTAGACATAAGGCTGCGCTACTTAATAGACTACAATGTAGTGTAAACGTAACTTTTACATGCACTGGGAAACCAAAAAGTTCATTCGACCCCCTTTATTGCAAAATTCACTGTATTGCAGCAGTCTGGAGCAGAACCTGCAGTATCTCTGAGGTCTGCCTGTACCATGAAACCAAGTGAGACAATTGTTGAGTAAGTACAGAATTTGTCTGTGGGGAGAGAAGTGATTCTGTCAGATAATGCATGGGACCAGGGCTCGTATCCCAGTAGCAGAGTCCCATTTCTAGTGATTAGTATACTGCTTTCCCCAGTCAGGGCCTCACTCTCTTAAGATGTACTGCATATATCCAGGCAGATTTGCTGCTTTGTTTCTAATTTTCCATCCTCACATATACGTCCTCATGGTACATTTTCCTCATATAGATGTTAAATTATTTGTATAGGTTTAAAGACTTTACTTCCTCATCAGTAGTAGGAGGTCCTAATTTTATTAGCAGAGTGTTTCACACAACCTTTATTTTTTTTTAAAGATTTTATTTATTTATTTGAGAGAGAGAGAGAGCACATGAGAGGGGGGAGGGTCAGAGGGCAAAGCAGACTCCCCGCTGAGCAGGGAGCTCGATGCGGGACTCGATCCAGGGACTCTAGGATCATGACCTGAGCCAAAGGCAGTCATTTAACCAACTGAGCCCCCAGGCACCCTCACACAACCTTTATAGTGGCCTTTTTATTAGCCATCTGAATGCTAAAATGAGTCTATAAAACATAAAAATGTTGCTTTTAGTAGTTAAAGGAATTGAATTGCTTCTCTACCAAGTGTTGACCTCTAGTTTCCCTGGTTTCCTAAGGCCTAGGTTATCTAGGTTATTTTAAAGACCATACCCCTGGGGCGCCTGGGTGGCTCAGTCATTAAGCGTCTGCCTTCGGCTCAGGTCGTGATCCCAGGGTCCTGGAATCGAGCCCCACATCGGGCTCCCTGCTCCGCAGGAAGCCTGCTTCTCCCTCTCCCGCTCCCCCTGCTTGTGTTCCCTCTCTCACTGTGTCTCTCTGTCAAATAAATAAATAAATAAATCTTTAAAAAAAAATAAAGACCATACCACTAAGATAGACAAGGTACTTTTTTTTCTTTTTTAATCTATTAGCATAGTAGGGTCTGCATAGGCTTTTTGAGGCTTAGAAAGTCAGGTAACTTCTCTGTAATCACAAAGAAAATGAGTATTGTACTCAGGATCCCAACCCAAGCCTGTGACTTCTGACTAAGTTCCCAAGCTGTCCTGCTTCAGACATCTTCCATTAAATCAACCCCTACCTGCCGTGTCCTCTGTTCACCTCTCTTCCCCTTTCCTGCCCTATCTTCCCTTCAAGATGCCTTCAAAACTGCAGCCTCTTTGTCAGCATTATAAACAGGCTTATCTTCTTACCCTAAGGAGATAAAACATATGATTATGTTTGATGTCTTTCAGACTGGATGACTATGCCCGTGAGTAAGAACTCTCCTCTCAAGGAGGGTATTACTGATGAAGACTTGGATCAGTGGATGATAAAGAACGGATTCACTAGAGATAGTCACTGGAAATACGATAGCCTGTTGGAATGGCAGCATGGAGGCCAGGGGGTACTTGCTCACCAGAAAACCCCCTCTCTGCTCAGTGCTCAGACCAGGGATGAACCTGGGAAGCACTGCACTGTGAGCTCATCTGTTGTTCAGAGTCAGGGATTTCAAGCTAGCAAAAAAGCCTTCGAGTGTAGTGAGTGTGGAAAAGTCTTCACTAAGAGTTCAACCCTTAATAAACATCAGAAAGTTCATACTGAAAAACTGAATGCAAATCAGAAAACTGTTATTAAAGAGAAACGATATGAATGTAGAGAATGTGGGAAAGCCTTTCACCAGAGTACACACCTCATCCATCACCAAAGAATTCACACTGGCGAGAAACCGTACGAATGTAAGGAATGTGGCAAGGCCTTCTCCGTGAGCTCCTCACTCACTTACCATCAGAAAATTCACACCGGAGAGAAACCTTTCGAATGCAATCTATGTGGGAAAGCTTTTATCCGAAACATACACCTTGCCCACCATCATAGAATACACACTGGAGAGAAACCTTTTAAATGTAACATATGTGACAAAGCCTTTGTGTGCAGGGCACATCTTACCAAACACCAGAATATTCATAGTGGAGAGAAACCCTATAAATGTAATGAATGTGGGAAAGCCTTTAATCAGAGTACAAGTTTTCTTCAGCATCAAAGAATTCACACTGGAGAGAAGCCCTTTGAATGTAACGAATGTGGAAAGGCCTTCAGGGTGAACTCTTCCCTTACTGAGCATCAGAGGATTCATACTGGAGAGAAACCTTATAAGTGTAGTGAATGTGGGAAAGCTTTCAGGGATAATTCATCCTTCGCTCGACATCGGAAAATTCATACTGGAGAGAAACCTTACAGATGTGGTTTGTGTGAGAAAGCGTTCAGGGATCAATCAGCCCTAGCCCAACATCAGAGAATTCATACTGGGGAAAAACCTTATACATGTAATATGTGTGAGAAAGCCTTCAGTGACCATTCAGCCCTCACTCAACATAAGAGAATCCACACCAGGGAAAAACCTTACAAATGTAAAATCTGCGGGAAAGCCTTTATTCGAAGCACACACCTTACTCAACATCAGAGGATTCACACAGGAGAGAAGCCCTATAAATGTAATAAATGCGGGAAAGCTTTCAACCAGACTGCAAACCTCATTCAGCATCAGAGACATCATATTGGAGAAAAGTGATAGGATTATAGTTTATATGGCAGAGCTTTGAGACCGAATATATTAATTATTGAATGTAAGAGAATCCATTCCAGAGAACAGCCATGAAAGCCTACCCGAAGATGGAATTTTTATTTATGGAGAATCCAGCTTCACGGGATTGTGGGTTTAAGAATTTAAGAATGGCATGCCCTCCTAGTTCAGAACTGCCTCGATTGAATACCAGTAATGTTTAATTAGTCTGAATTATCAAATATCATAACCAAAATCAGGCTTCATTAACAACATAGAAATTAGATGATCAAATTTACATTTTTACTATTAAGAGAAATTATAAAATTGTAAAAGACCAGGTTGAGAAGCAAAGGAACAAAAAAGAAAATGGTCTATAAGCATTTCACTCACTTCTTTTATATAAGAGGGTTTCTACTTTCAATGGAACCCTTTGTTCTCACCCACCCACTTTCCCGGTGTAAGGAAAGTGTAGTCACCATGCATTGGCCCCGGAGTTACTTAAATTATGTTTCCCACGTTATGCTTCAAACCATCTTCTCAGATTTCCCTGACTTCGGTGTCCACTGGCTGCTTACCCATATTCTCCTCCTGGGACAACTCATTTGAATGGTGTGTCCCTCTTGATTTACCACCTCCTAACTGGTGACATCATGTCACTTATCACCCCATTTGCCCTTGGGGAATGTGGCCTCATATAAACAGTCCGTGATTCTGGGATATCGCACCCAGACCCAGCATTCAGAACTCGGGACCCCTGTGAGGCAGAGGTCGATCAAACTTCTTGAGTCCCCCAGTTCCTCTGGGCCTCACCTTGACTCTGACACTGGGATGGAACCTTAAAGTAGGGGCTTAGTTTGTGTAGACATTACCTCCAGTTGTTCCTCGCTGTACTTACCCCAGTCAAGGGACTGCTCGGCTTCAGATGTGACAATCCAACCCCCTAGCAGTGTTCTAGGCCCCCTCAGCTTCTGTGACTTGTCATTTCTTAACATGCAACTGACACGAGTTAGAGCCCCAAAGCCGCTTCTCAAAGGCTCTGACCCCCTCTCTTGCCCTTGGCTGGCAGTCCTCTGTGTCCACTGCACTAGAGTATATATTCGTTAACCCCAGAACATTAACTGCTGCATCCTGGTCCCTGACCTGTCCAGTTTTCTGAAGGTCTTGACTGTGTTCACAGGACAAACAGCTTGGAATTTATGCTTTGGCATTTGAAAGTGGGCATTTCCTCTCCTCCATCTGGGTATTCTACTATTTAGAGACTGTCCCATTCTGACAGTGGTGAGCTATCTGTAGAGTAATTCCATGGGTGAAGAAGTCGAGAGCATCATGACATTCCCTGGCAGGGCATTATCCATGCCCAAAAGTTTTAGCGATACTCTGTTCCTGCAGGTACGGTTCCTTTTCCATCTTTGGTTCCTCACTGCTCAGTAGAAATCACAGAGATAACATGTGTGCCTTCACACACACAGCCACTGGTAGCGCTGTCCCCTTCCCCACCCCAAAGGATGGGGAGCCCACACTACTGCAAACTGGAACACACCACATCATGAAGACGGAAGAGCAAGTCAACCGTTGTTCTGGGAGACGGAGTGGCAAGTTCTTAGCCCACGGAGGTGCAGAAGAGGATAGTCTGTGTCTTGGTGGAATCAGTAGGCTCCAGGTTGAACACAGACTTGGAAGCTTCCAGCCACTCTAAAGCCTAAGTTCTCTAAATTCAGCTTCCATTGAATAAAGGCTGCCAGTGTGGGCAGGCATCTCCTGTGTGTGTTGGGGAGGGGGGATAAGCAGCTCATACTTTCTCCCCTACCAAGCTGCAGGTGAAGCAGCATTTCAAGGGGTGACTTGGAGCTCTTTGTACATTGGGCCCACACGTGTTCATCTGCAGCCTCACAGGGCTGGCGGCCCCAGATTCCACAAGAAACCCGAAAACCCGGTTGCTGCTACAGATCCTTGCCTTCAGTACTAGCCATAGGGCCTGCCTGGTCCTAAACCTTGAATCCCTGTGGAACACTGCTCAGCTGAGTTCATTGTTCATTTTGTTTGTGTTTAATGAGAGCTGATGCCACGGGGCCTGTGCCTGCAGTTGAGCCAGAGCCAAGACCGGCTGCCCTCTGAGAGCCTCCTCCATCCCAGGAACGGCTCCAGCTTCTGTTCCTGCACCACAGTCCGTGCAGCCTGGAGGCCCTCAGTCTGGGTTTGCTCCCTGCCCTGTCAGCGCACCCATGACTATGCCATCGCAGGATAATGATTGAGCCAGTCTCCCCACCCCTTTGTCGGGACTAGAGAGAGAGGAGCCAGAGAAGCAGACCTAGACCCCACCTCCCACATCTGACACGTCAGAGCTCCCCTGGCCTACTGTGGAATCGCCCAGTAGGCAAACCCAGTGGAAGGGCCAATTCCCCTCTGCCTGGGGGAAGGGTTTGAGAAGAGGATTAGCACTGTAAACTTTGTTAAAAATCATCATTGTCTGTGGGCTCCCATGAATACCCCTGAAACTGCCAGCTCTTGGGGGAAAAATAATTGCTCCAGTTTCCTCTTTCACATTCCTCCAATGCTCTCTTGTCAGGTCGTCCCATCTCCAGGTGATAGATTGGGCGCCTGGGTTCTCCCCCGCCGACTGAGCTTGCCTCGCTCTGCCAGCAGTGTCTGCCCAAGACGTTGCCTTCCTCCACATTCAGCAACAGCTTTTAGAATGGCACCTTGACCCTCAGCGGACTAGGGCTTCCCAGTGACGGTGACGGTGCCTGAGCCTCAAGAGTCTTGGAACAAAACAGCCCTAAATTGCATTCATCTTTGGTCGAGAAAACAACTTAATTCCCTTGAACATGAATTTAGTCTAAGTGCATAGCCTCCAGCTGTCTGACTCCTCTTCCCTCTGCACTTTGCCCTCCCCTCCGTTTAACTGGATTAGAAAGCAAGGTGATGTGCACACAGAAAACACTCCCACCCTATGCTAGCCTGCAGTTGGGAGAGGTCCCAGCCTCAACTCCTGCTAAATATATTTTTGGTAATATTTTTACTTTTAGTAATTTTATACCAGTTTGTGAAGGGAAAAAGAAAATACAAGGTTTGATTGTTTCCCATCACTCATGAACTTCTCAGTTGTGCTAATGACCATTCTCTGCCAGTGCCAGGATTTGGTTGCTTGGGCATGTTCTTCTTCATCCTGTGTATTACCCTGTCTGCCACTCATCACTGTTCTTAAAAATTGTTGCCATAGAATGATCCATCAGTGTGTCTTTCTGAAAATAAATGAGGAAAGTACACAGTGTTCAAAGAGATACAAACTGCATTTGTGTTACCTGGTTATCTCTTAAGACATGGCCAAAAGTAGTGCTTCTGGGTGTTTTTATCTTTATATGGCCAGTCTGGTCGTAGCTGCCCACAATGAGCACCCAAACTACCTGGTCCCAGAAACCATAGTTCAGGCTGTGCAATAGAAAGAGTTGTATCCCCAGTTGCTGGGCACAGCAGCTACTATGTGAGGACATCCTTCAGACCAGGTACTGTTGTAAGCACTCTGCACATAATAACTCATTTAATCCTCACAATTATGTGAGACTGTCCCATCCCCACTTGAAAGTTGAACAGAGAGGTTTACAAGTATTTCGGAAGTTGCACAGCTGGTAACATGCATGATTTGAGGATGTGACCCAGTCATTGTAGCTCTAGGTCACACATGCCTCCCTGCTGCACTCACCCCCCTCCTTCATGGACACATTCTAGGTCACCCTGGAAGGGCCGCTTGGCTCCAGACATTGGAGTGGGGCTGATGTGGCTATTGGGTGGAGGGCTATTGTAGCAAGTCCCCAGCCTTGCAACTATCTTCCAAGCATGGTTTTCCATACCCACTTCCTTCACAAAAAGACCTTTCCTCAGCCCTGGGTTGGCAAAGTGGAAAGGGTTCAGGTGCTCCTCTAGCTTGAGTACAAGAACCATGGGTTCACGACCATCAGCCCTGGGATATCTCATGGGCACGGCCTGATAACCATGGTGGGTCCGGGACGCAGGCCAAATGAGAGCAATTACTAGGAGTGCCCTTGTGGAGGTATTCCAAAAGCAGAAAACCAAAGCTAGTAGCTAGAGAAACAGCAATAACCCTTAATAACCATTAATAGTTTCTGCCAAGCATAGTACATACACAGATGGTATGCATGCATCTAGGTACTGCTTTCATGGAACTTAAATACAGAAGACAGGTATTGCAAAATGAAACACAAATAATTAGCAAAATAATTGTAGTTTGTGGGATGCGTGTTTCCACAGATGGGGTACCAGGAAAGAGTGTCAGAGACCCAGCTGTAGATTGCGTGGTTGCATCGGACTTCTCTAGAATTAACAACAGACACAAAAATGTTGAGTTCAGTGAGACAGGGAAAGAGGTTTGGACACACAAGGCAGGAACTATCAGGGGCTAGTTATGTGCCATTAAAAAGGTGTGGGTGGAGCCCAGAGTGAGGACTTGGCGTTAGCAAGATGAGGTTCCACAGGAAGAGGCAGGACCACAGCCCAATCAGCCACTGCAGTGAACTTGGCACAAGTGATTGCCAGGTGTCAGGTTTTGTACTTTAAATTTCTAAGCTTCAAGTCGTTGCTATTGATGAATAAATTTTACCAGAGCATAACTATTGGGAAGTTTTCCAATTAGTTTGTTCTTTCCCAATTAATTTTCCTTGCAGTGAATAAGAAATTCCAAAATTGGAAGAACTTAAATATGGGAACTTAAAAACCACCTAAGGTTCCATTGCTAATTTATTTCAGCAATATACTTCAACCAAGGTACAGCATTGCTCACTGTTATGTAATGTTATCATTTCTAGTCATTGTGATGGGGGGGAAAATGGGGTTATAAATATTTACAGATGAGGATACACCAGATTCCCCTTGGTGCATTGCCTCAGGCTCCTCATCAATCTTTCTGGTTCCCTCTGGGCCACCTCCCACTCCAGCCACCAGTGACTTTGTCCACCCAACAGATCCAGTCATGGCACTCACCTGTGTAAACCCTTCCATGGTTCCCCTTGGCCAACCTTGGGAAGCAAAGCCTTTCAAGACCCTTCACAGCCAGACCCGTGTAGAATTCATATTTTTGTGAGGGAAATACAGCGCACATTTCTCTAGAGAGCAGTTTTGAAGAAGGAATGTTATTTGGGGGGTCTGAGAGGTGGTCTTGGGATCGGTCAGCTGTGGGGTTTGTGTAATGAGCGGGGTCTGCGTGGATAGTGACTGATAGGACTGGGAGGGTGGATGTTGGGAAATGGGGTCAGTGATGTGGGCATCTGTAGGGATCAAAGAGACTCTGTCAGCGACTGTGGGAGAGGCTAATCATCTTGTCCAAGGTCACTTCCTAACGTGGCAGAGCTGGTATTGATCTCAAGAAGTCTTAACCTTGACACTGTACAATTTCTAGATACAAAAGCTGACAAGGAAGTCTACGGTGTCTGGGGTAAGACAAAGTCTGTGGGCCCTGGAAATTTTCCTGTCTGGCAGATCAGGATGGGAAAAAAAATAACTCAGAAGTTGATAGTTTGGGTAAGTTCAACATTGAGGAGCCCTGGTAGAATAAGCTAATAATATTTCATCAGCCAGATTATATCAGTGAACAGCATGTGGGGCAGGACCCATGTATCCTTCCTGCTATTTCTATTTCTGAGTCTGCAGGCAAATAAGAGAATGAATCACAGCCAGATACAGGTGCCAGAAGAGGGCAGGGCCCATAGCAGCATTCCTATGAGAGTGGGGAGCTGGTGCCCCGGAATGATGATTTTGATACTGGTGTGTGGGATGGAGGGGAAAGACACAGGAAGCAGAGACTAGTTAGTATCCCACCAGAGTAATCCACAAACGAAGCGATGAGGCTCAGTGTCCAAAACCAGTCCCTTCACTAATCTGCCTCTCCACACACTCGACTGCCTTTCATCCAAGCCTCCCTCAGTGTCTCCGTGTTCAGAGCTGCACTCCATCTTGGTTCCTGCCCTTTGCTCTTGAAAGGTCATCTCTGAAACTCCCAGCCTCCTATAGCTGTCAGTGCTCTGTCCACACGGCAGCAGGCTTCCCACCTCCTCAAAGCTCAGGAAATGGAAAACACTTACACTTGGGAATTTTTCATATTTAGAAAAAAAGGTGTCAATAGAACAGTATTTCTGAAGAGGTTTTATCCTACAAAATGACGTTGGAAAGATTCACCTGGAATTGTGCACTTTATTCCAGTTTAGAAGGAGTCTTGCAAATTGGCGACTACATAAAAAAGCAGCAGAAAATGCAAGCCAAACTTCTGGAAAAATGTATATTTATTCAACAAGAAGTCACTGAGTGAGAGACAATGAAAGTAATGAATTTGGGGAAAATTTCCAAAGAGCACAAAATGTAGTAAATGTGACAAAGCTATAATAAATGTAATAGATGTGTTGAAAAATTCACACTAGTGAAAAGATATGAGCACATAGTTAATATGAGAGAGGCCATCCTTATACAACTCTCCACACATTGGACACAGATGATACCCTTACGAATAGGTGAATAAAAGTTTATATCAAAATGTAATCTTCCTCTGCTTTAGAGAACTCATACTGGAGAGAAACACTGTGATCGTAATGTGGGAAAGCCTCCAATCCAGAGCCCCATTTTCACTGGAACACAGAATTCATACTGGGAAGAAATCATTCATGGGCAATGAATGTGAGAAAGCCAACAAGCATAGCCCAGTTCTTATTCAGCATAAAAGAAACCACACAGGCAGAATGCCT